TTTTTTTTTTTTTTTTTTTTTTTTTTTTTTTTTTTTTTTTTTTTTTTTTTTTTTTTTTGACTTTTTTTTTTTGTTGTTTTTTTGTGTTTTTGTTTTGTTTGTTTTTTGTTTTTTATTATTAGTCATAGAGGGGATGACAGATCAAGTCACAGATCATTAGCATTCAAGTCAAAGTCCAGATAAAGGTCATCCAAAGTCAGCAAATCTGTAACTCTACTCCCCGGTAATTAATTTACTTAGAAAATGTGCTTACTTACATAACTAGATGGTGTTTTTTGTTCAATATAGTTTAAATGACAACCTACAGGTCACAGCTGCTTGGAATTGTAGGCACATTTTTCTTAAAAGAAACATAAAATACAATTAAAACCCTTTCATTCACATACTTCGTTAACGATCAAGTTAAAGGATTCCACTTAATTCTGCTCCACTGAACAAATATGGCGTCCAGGTCAAGGGCTAAAATCCCTGCTGAGAAAGGCCCATTTCCTGTTTACCTCAAATACTTCTAATCCAGTGTATTTTGTTGACTGAGAAGACAAAAGTGGACCTCCTTTGGACAAAGTTTGCCCCTTTACATCATCTATAGAACTAGCACAGCACTCAATTCAGTTCAATTCATAAAAAAGAAATACTCTATTTGTCCTAAAGTGAAATTGAAATACATATATACACTTTTATATATATATATATATATAGATTGATGGTTGTGGTTATATTTTAGAGAATGAAAACAGGAACTTGTTAAAACTTGTGTTGAAAGAACGTGTTAAATTAGAAAGATTTCTTATTCTCAAATAATTTATATATTTAAAGTATTTTTTCTAACATTACTCGTTGACATTCGAAATTTGCTTGATGATCTGAAACATCTTACTGTGAAAAAAAGCAAAAGTAAATATATCTAGAAGACAATACTCAAGAGGATTGTTTTATTTATTGTTGATGTAACATTGCTTTTTCCTGGACTGGTTCTTGGTGAATGCTGGTTTCAATACACGCTAAAGTCAGAATAAAGAATAAATTCAAAGGTTACATCATTTTCAGTTGTGTCCTTAAACCACAGTGAGTCATTCCATCCCGACAGGGTTTGATGTGTCTTTAATCTTTATCTGCTCGGCACAGTTTTCTTGACACTCCCTGAAACAGTTGATAAGCCAAACTTGAAGACACGTCCTCAGAAAATTACTGTTTAACTTGACTTTAAGCGGAAATATTTTATGGCTTATTGAGAAACCCGATAAAGAACATCTATCACTCATTGTTGTGAAATGGTGTTCTATAAATGTGTAAATGTGGGCCGCACAATGAGTCCAATCTCACCTCTGAGATTTTATATTCCAGGTAGCTTCTAGCATTGTTATCCTGAATGATTATAGTTTCCCTCTGATTTCTCCAGTTTCCTACCACAGTCCAAGAACCAATATATCCACCAGATTTTAAGTGTTCCAATAAGTACTGATTTCCCTGTGATGGGCCTTTACTGAGCCACTTTTTGCCCAATGATGGCTAAAGAAACTGTTGTTGAGGATCTCCAGAGGCCAGGAGGAATAAATAGCTGAGCTCTCTGGGTCAGCCCTGAGATCTCCCTCCAGACGGAAAAAGCCCGGAGGTCCCAGTCAGCTGACTGGTTGCAGCTCTATTCCAAGCTCCGTCACCTGCATCTTTAAGTGGGTCACGATTCCAAACTGTGACCATAGCAGAGTCTGATTGCACATTAAACACAAAAAGGGATACTCTTCATGAATTTAAACCGAGGGAACATTTCGTCTGGAAAAGTTACCCTGGGAACAGAAACCCATTTAAATCTACCTCAAGGCAGGTTTGGATAGAGTATTTAAGCAATCTACATTTTCTTGTTCTATTGTGTTAATTTAAAAGAAAATTTCAGCTTTTAATGGGCATAAAAAAAGCTATTCTACGAAAGAACACTCCATGTCGATCAGTTTTTCCAAAACTACCAAATTTTATTACATTAACGCCAATATAAATCAATTCAAAACAGGAATACAAACAGCACTTCTATTTATATAATCTACTGGTGTGGATTCAGTTTAGTTTAAACTCTATAAAACAATGTCTGGAACAGGATTATGAGAGCTAGAAAGTTAAAGTGTAGCTTTTAAAAGTGATCAGCAGTTTATATTTTGTTTTAATTTACTTCGAGTTCAACTTAAGGTTCTTATATTTAAAGGTTTTCCAGTTCTTAAACTCTGAATGTTGGAGTTATTTCCTACTTCTCGAGAATGTTGAACAACAAAAGCTTGTTTACCAGAAGAAAAATGCTTTTAGAAACCAGTTTTCCGTTAAAGCAGCTTTTTTCTACTTTTCCATCTAGATCTATTGAAGTATATTCCCACTTTCATTTGTGGTTCATGCCAGCATGCTCTAGAGCTTTGTATTAAAATAAAGACAACCAACACACAGACTTTATATAAGTATGCATTTATTTGCATCAACATGGTCCATTAAAATACTAAAATGTAATTCTTCACAAAAGCTTCTCATCCTGCATTGATAAGTCATTTATAGCCCCATCTAACATTAATTAAAGTGCAAAATGCTGCTCATTTTCCCCAAACTCCTCATTTTGAACAAACGTGCTCATCAGTGAATAGTAATACATTTCCCTTCAACCTGAGGTGAACATTAAGGACAACATTCCTCTGAAAGGCACACATGTGCCCACAAACTTTTCTGTTTTGAAAATAAAACTTCACGATTATATTTAGTGTTCGACGGATGTTAAGGCGATCATCCCACACCGTGAATTATAACAGCACTATTGGCTTGTTCTCTTTACCTAAAGAGAGCAATAAATACAGGAGGGGGTGAAAATAAATAGTCACTCAGTGCTCAGACATTCAGGACGGGAGAAAGGGAGAGAAGACAAAGAGTTTGTGCAAAATCTTCTCACAACAGAATAACAGGGCGGCAGTAGGTTTACCCCAGAGAGCTGGTGGTGCAAACATAGAAAGACCTGGACATCTGACTCACAAATAAAAAACATTTGGTCCTCCATTTCCCCCATTCAGTCGCTTTTCATCTCTGAGTCTCAGTATAAATAGCAGCAGTCATTATCCTGACAACCTGAGCTCACAGAGTCCATAATCTCCTCCCCAGCATGACGTCAGCTGACATTCACAGAATGAGACGGCCACACGAACCACCGGCGGGATTCTAATGCGAGCTCTAGGACAGAGTTTGGTGCAATCGAGAGTATGTGGCGGGTTCCATGGCGATCAGCGGGATGTCACCCCCAGCTGAGACTTCAGGTGCTCGTACACCACATAGCTGATGCTGACGGCGGGGATGACTTTGAGGAAGTTGGGGGCCAGGCCCCTGTAGAGACCTGTGGGGCCTTCATTCTGCAGGATCTGCCTGAAGACGCCACTCATGGACACCTGCTGCTGGTTACCCTCCACCACAGCTGCAGAGATTCAAAACAAAATTTAAATTATTAAACATGAATGAAAGCAGAACCGGATTGCCAGTACTTGTAGACCTAAAACGAGGCTTACCTTGTGCCTGCATGCGGGTTCGGACCAGAGCCAGGGGGTAGCTGGCTAGCTGACCGCAGGTGCTGGACACTGTGCCACAGGCCAGCAGCACCACCACGCCGGGGTCCGTGCTGTTGGTGCCATACTGCTGCAGGTAGCTGTTCTTCAGCGTCTGTCAGAGGGAAAGCATAAGAGAGGAAAATCAGACTGCGGTTTGTTGAAAGCAAACATCCTACAGAAGACAAGTGGTTAGAGTCTGTCTGCTCACCTCGTAAACCGCCAGGTCAATGCCTGCGTAGGGGATGATGCCCAGCATGTTGGGGACATAGCCTTTGTAAAACGCACCCAGGCCTTCCTTCCTGAAAATCTGCTTGGCGCAGTCAGAGATTCCAGCGTACTGACCGGTTTTCCTCAGAGCCAGACGGGTTTTTAGAACCTGAAAACAAAACAGGAGAAGTTACTAAATGTTCATCTGAAGCCGAAGGCACTCCAGATGGGAGATTAAAAAAAAGAGTAATCACCTCCATGGGGTAGATAGTGCTCTGGGCTATTACTCCAGCCAAAGAACCCGCCACAAATCTCTCCAAGATGCTCAGAGTCTCCTTATCGCTGCCGATTAGACGCTTAATCTGCAGAAACCAATTTAGAAGGAAAAGCTCAATGAAGGAGGAATAGCAGAGAAACCTGGTTTGATTTTCTCAAACGAGCCGCTTTGCTTACCTGCTCATAGGCCATGAACTTTAAAGCTGATTCAGGCGCGATCTTGATGACGTTCACCCCGTTGCCGCGCCACAGCGACCGCGTGCCACCCTCTTTGATCATCTGCATGAGGCCGCTCATAATGCACATGTTGTTGGTCCGAGACCCGTAAACCTGGAAGGAGAGAACATCCAGCAGGTTAATAAAAGGATCTCAAAACTTAAAGTAGCACTTTAAATTAATGATCTAAACGTTTAGGCCAACTAGGAATATGATCATGTGGGTCTTAAAACTCTGGCCAACTGGGTCAGGTTGGTTCAACTGTTGGCAGCTCGTTTTCAATCGATGAAAATGTTTACGTCAGTTTACTCTGATGGACCAGAGCTATTTGTTGGGCACAGGGCGTCCTCAACCCCAGAACAGAGGGTGCGATGCCCGTTCCTGAGCTCTGATTGGCCGACGGCAGACAGAACCGGCTCATGGACTCTGCCCACCCTGCTCTTACACACTGACTGTTAAACTTTAACCCGTTTACGCTTTTTAGATAAAGCGTTGTTGAGCAACGGCTTCTAAAATTTAAAGTGGTATGCCAATTATTGTGGCT